GCAGAAAGACCCTGGGCCAGGAATCGAACCCAGAACCTTCTTACTGCAAGGCAGCAGTGCTACCCACTGCACCACTGAGCAGCCACTTATGTTTTAGTTGATTATAATTCCTGATGCATTTTATGTTAAAAGAAGAGGGGAGAAAGATATATAAAAAAGCTAAAGGGCCAACATTATCATTTTTACAATTTTTGTAATCACATAATGTACAGATAATAAAAGTTCTATAATTTCAATTACCAATTTCAGAAACTAAAACTCTTGAAGAAAGAAAAAAGGCTTTAGGAGTCCTGGAAACAAAAGAAAGTTACCAGAGGCTACATCTAGAAGCCAAAACCCATTCATTGGCCACCCAAAAGTGATAGAAAACCCTGCAGCATCACTTTTAGTAAAAAAAAAAATAAATAAATAAATAAAAAGAATGATTTATGTAGTGATTTGTTCAAATCCTAGAGAAATAACTGAGAGCAGTAGCTTGTAAACTTTAAGAACTTGCCTCCTTCCTAGGCCTGGTGGAGACAAACTATTTTTCTAATGATGGCCAATGTCAGAACCAATGTGCAGAAAGGGTGACAAAAACCGATAGGCATCAGAACCAATTCAGTGAAAATATCCACTGTACCAATAAGGACATAAATGAGAACAACATCCATAGTTTCCAAATAAATTACTGAGAACAGCAACATTTTCCTTAAGTTCTTGGTATTGATTACACACACATATTCATGCAAACTGGATGTTCTTATTTTGTCTTTGAGTTCAGTGGAGTCTTCTTAGCTATTGGTTGACACACATGCCATTCTTTATGATATGCTCAGTTAACACCAGGGCACATCATTAGTGTTTATGTTTCCAGTTAGCTTCAGTTTAAGCCAATTCTTTTACTGCAACTTCACTGCTGTCACGTATACTTTAAAAATAGCTAAGAGTCCTGAGAAGCAAACAGTTCTTCACGTCTACGAGGTGAAGCAGAACGCCTGAGAAGAAATAAATCAGACCAGGTTGTGTTTGGGAGATTCTTTCACATGATGATGGAAGAGCAGGTAGGATGGTCTTGCACGACGTTGCCGGAAAGCCTGACCGCTTTACTTTCAACCAGTTAGGGTGCTGAATAAAACTGATTTAAATAAACTAATAAACATATTAAATGGGTTTAGCTTTTCTACGTCTTTAATTACCCATAATACTAGATGACTTGCTTAGACACATAGCTTTCCCTTCCCTGCATAAAACAAAGAAACTAGTTCGGAGAAGGGCATGAATTCTTTATTTGTCATCTTTAATGGTTGTATAATGATATGAATAATTTGTTCCAGGCTTTCTGTTGTCAGTTTATGCCAGTTATACACTGTAAAAACGAAAAAGTTAGTTCAACTTAAAATTTCAAGGCAACCGACTGCACAGAATTTTTTGGAGTTGAAGGCATCAACTTAATTTTTTAAGTTTTGTAGAACTACACTTATTAAGTTGTGTCAGCTAAGTTTTTCAAGTTCTGCCAACTAAGTTTTTTTTAATTCATGTTACTGGAACTTTCAAGTCTGTAAAAAACTTATTATTTTAAGTTCAGATTATCTGTAAAAAGTTATTTTAAATTCAGATTACCATCCCTGTAA